ATAACAAGACTCACCAGGACAAGGCAACTCCGGCAACCCCACTAGCTTTACCTTCTTTCTTGTTTCCTTTTTGAAGTTATACCAATAAAAGTCTTCAATATTTTGAATTAAAAGGCAACCACCTTACTAATAATCTAAATAACTTAATAATATTTTTTTTTAATGAAAGTAAAAAATTTTAAATTTAAATTGTATGATATAACGTCAAAAGATGTAAGAATATTGTTTTTTATTGTGTAATCTAAAATAAAAAATAATAAATAAAAAAATAAAAGAAAGAGGAAGGCAATCCCCCTGCTTTGAGTATGCCAAGAGAGCCACCCATGCCTGCTTCTCAAACCTGAATGCTTCGCTCCAATTACATCTGAGTGCTTTCCTCCAATTACCTTCCCCTCTACTTCCGTCATCTTCACTCACAAACAAGTAAGAATCTTGAACTCCCTACATTCACTACCAAGAAGATACTCTTCAAATTCTAGAGCAGTTACGATGTGACGAAATATTAAACCATCTTGAACTTGGAATGAATTAAAATCATGAAATGTAAAGAGCCTTTCATTTGCGACATCAAAACCATAAACCTGGTGCTCTATATCATTAGGTTGCCAATACCGAGCACCATTCACGAATCCTACAGGACGTCCTACAAAACGACTGACACTGTCAAAAGGGAGATCTTGACTCCACCTCCAACAATTTGATTTTAAACTGAAATCCAAACTTGAGACCAATCCTGGTGTAGTTGTCCTTGTTGGAAACATCTGAGAACATGACGACCGTCTAATCATCATAAGCAGAATCATACCCCAGACCACAAGTGTGCGGAAATCATAACGATGGTTATGCCATGACATGCGGGTAACTTCTTGCACTACCTGCTTTTGATTATTTATTGTACACACACAAGCGAAACAACTTTCTAACTTATTTTCTCATTAATGGAAGGAGAAGCTTCTTTTTTGCCCTTTCGGAAGGAAATTTAAAGGTTTTATTTTTTATTTTTTTGGTAAATACAAAATTAAGGTTTTATTTGGTTCTGCGTTTGGGTAATTTTGGAGTTTTTGTCTTGTGTTTTACTTTAATTTTTTAAGAAAATGAAGGTAAGAAGAAGTTAAAATGTGTAAGATATAATTTTTTATTAACTTAATCTAGCACTTGTGATGAAAATAAATTTTAAGCGATAAAAAAGAATAACCAAAGTATTTATCTTCATATTTTCTATCTTTTCTTTGGGGGGAGATCTAAGTTACTGAAAGGAAGATTGAGTTCTACCAAAAAAAAAAAAAAAGAAAGAAAGAAAGAAAGGAAGATTGAGAGGTGAAGGACGTGACAAGCAAGATAAGAGAATGGCCCAAAAAATTTAAAAAAAAAGGTGAGAGAAAATAATTTAAATCACTTGTTATGTTCTATAAAAACCGTGTGAAAGTTGTTATCCAGTTGTTTGTGCCTTAAATGTAGATGTAAGTTGTCAAAATGAGA